ATCTATCTATCTATCTATCTATCTATCTATCTATCTATCTATCTATCACACAGGAGCTCTTTCATTCACAACACCTGTCCCACCAACCAGGAACCAGAACCAGATGTTTACAGTAAAAACAGGAAGATATCAACCTGTGGATTATCTGAGGATCTTAGTACTGAATGCCCAATAACTAGGGACATTTACACAGTGATTTTAGGCCATTTTGGGCTGTTTTCTGTCTCTTTCTGTTGTTTTCCTACAGTTTTTCTGGCACTTTCTGCTGTTTTCTGCCTTTTTCTGTATTATTGTATTGTGTATTCTGTATTATTCTGGATTATTTGAGGATCTTAATACTGAATGATCAATAACAAGGTACATTTACACACTATAGGGCCAGTTTGATAGAACACAATTTCATACAATATATATAATTAGGGGGTCCCTGCTCCATTAGTTTGGGGGTCCTTGGCCTGGAAAACGTTGAAGACCCCTGTCTTAGGCACAGCCATGAAATAATTAGGAAAAAACGGGGCTGTCCTTTGATCTTCAGGCAGCTCTGAACATGCTGACTCGCTGTCAAGCTGAAGACTTCAAGACGGACAACATCCTGGTGACAGCCATCCATCCGGGCTGGGTCCGGACTGAGATGGGAGGAGAGGAGGTGAGAAGATGCAGTGTGAAAAAAAATGACTCAGTCATGTTTTTGTGGGCTGCCTCAGTCTGAATCCAGGAGATAAATCAGGAGGTTTCAGGAGTGGGTAGTTTCTGACGTCATTAGCTCTAGCTCATTATAATATTCCAGCCTTTCACCTGCATGTTGCCCCCCCCCCTCAGCTGACTCCCCTATCCTGGTAGCGTGAGCGTTAGCATGGTAGTGTTAGCATGAGCATGGTAGCGTTAGCATGAGCATGGTAGCGTTAGCGTGAGCATGGTAGTGCTAGCGTGGGCATAGTAGCGTGAGCGTTAGCATGGTGGCGTTAGCATGGTAGCGTTAGTGTGAGCATGGTAGCGTTAGCATAAACATGGTAGTGCTAGCGTGAACATGGTAGCGTTAGCGTGAGCATGGTAGCATGAGCGTTAGCATGGTAGCATGAGCGTTAGCATGG